ATTTAAAAACGCAAACTTCGAAACTGTCCTTAGTGCTTTTAAATAATCAGAAACAAATGCTTCCATTTTTATACAAACAGATTCTATAGTAGAATTTTTAACATGCTGTAGTTTCTGATGACAGTTACGGAATACCATGACAACTTCTTCGTCTGATAGACGTTTGAACTTTTCCAAACTTCTTATGCAGAAGCGCGCTAACTGAAGCTTGTCATTTACTGACTCGGAATTTTTCGTCATCCTTTCTCTACCTTCCTTTGTATATTGTGAGACTTCATTAAGACATTCAATTTCAAGCTTTTCAAGAAGCTGAACAAGTTCTTCTTTTACTTTTTGAACATCTTTTGTAATTTCATCAGACATATGTTCAAATTTCAAAATATTTTCTTCTTGTTTAGATTTAGTGTTTGAAAGTTTCTTTTCTGTTTCTTTCAAGTCACTCAATAAATCATCACAAGAATCAGTTCTTCGGAGGTTTTCTGCTTTCTGTTCAATGGTTTCCACACTGTCACATTTTCTGTGATCGGTACTTACACACATTGTACAACATGGTTGTTCGTGATCATTGCAAAAGAGTTCTATTTCTCTTGCCTTATGTATAGCACACGTTGTCATCAATGGTTTCGTAGACATTTTACGACCAGATTTCGCTTCATCTAAATCAAAAGTTCATGATCTTTAAGAATGCGATTTCTTCTGTGGTATTTTGCACAGTTATCACAAAGTGCCTCTGAACAAGAAAAACAATACTTCTTTGCTTCCTCGTCCTCATTTTCTCTTTTACACGCCTCACAAACACTTGCAACATCCGTTTGACTAGAAAATTCAGACAAAATCTGATTAATTGGGAATTGTGTACCCCATTCATTTGGATTTGCAGAAAAACAAGGTGCTGGAGCGAATTCCCGACATAAAGGACAATGGAATCCCACAGGGTCCGCCTTAGTTTGGCATACTGATACGATAAACGATGACAAACATCCTTGACAAAATGAATGTAAACATGGTAACATACGTGGAGTTTTGAACCGTTCAAAGCACATAGAACATTTCCAAACATCACTACTCTCAGAAGCATTGTCTAAAGTTGTTGAAGTTGCCATCATCAAAGCAAATTAAATTTCTACAACTACGCTCTTCAGTACTTTCCTTTACAAGGTGATGTATTAATTCGTCCCTAAGTTTTATTTGCCCCCCCCCCCCCACCCCTGTGTTTGAGATCTAATGACATGTAGAAATCATAGGTTTTGATTAATTCTTTTGCAGTATCAATTGAGCACAAAAAACTATGATTTACAAATAATCATTTTCACTGAAGCTCTCTGTCTCAAGAGACAAGGATTTATCACATGCAGTGTATTTTTGTGGTAAAGACATTCATGCTCATTATGTTCAATGCCATACTAAGACTGTATTTTTTTATTTCCAGAATGCGTCCTACCGACCTAAGCTTATTACTTACTTGTTATTCCATCGTTAGCATTTTTATGGTTCATTCAGTGTTGCCGGAAATTTTTACACATATTTTCCCGGTGATAATTTGATGAAATATCAAAAGGGTATAATGTTGTAAAATTATCGTTTTGAAATTGATCAGTATTTCCGATTAATAAATTTTGAAATTTCAATTTTCTTGTTCACGTAAATATTTTTATTTTACATTTTCAACAGTGAAATACTGTGATTTATTTATTGAATAAAAGTGACATTCTCTCACAGTTTGAAAGGATACCAAAATGATATTCTCTCACAGCGTGAAAGGATATCAAAGAAAGTAAAAAATAATTTCTGGCCTGTCATAAGATAGAGATAGTAACTAACCATCTTAGTAGAGCTAAAACTGCAAATTTCTTCCCAAATATGTTGCTAAAATCTATGCTGTGTAATGTTTTCAAATCACAATTGGTAATCTATGACGTCTCAACCGCTCAACTACATGTATGACGTCAAGCCTATGGCACTGTGTTAAGAAAAGACAGAGGCAAAGGGATAATAAAAAAAATGTAATAAACAGAAAATTCAATGTTTGTAGATGAATATGGAATTTATTTCATTCGTGAGACAGGATTTTTTGATATTTTCACTCGTGCTTTGCACTCGTGAAAATATTTTTAAAAAAATCCTGTCCCACTCGTGAAATAAATTCCATATTCATCTATAAAACATTGAATATGCTCTCTATATAACATTTTTTTGAATAAGTTTTCTATTATATCACAAATGTTATAAGTTTCACTATAAACCCTGAAGAATGCTGAATCACACCGGAAACAGTTATGGCACACACCGGAAACAGTTATATCACCCGGCGGAAACAGTTATAACACGCTCCCGATCACTTTCACGTGTCTTTATGTTATGCATTTGTAGCTCGGGTTCGAGATTTCATGACGTTGGTTGCTAAGCAAACAGAAACAACGGAGCGCAATTTTTAACGTCATGAAAGCATTTTTGGATTATTTGCCTAAACTTAAATAATTCTAGACTATTTTTCATTTAAAAATAATATATTTAACATATACCACATATGACTTCTCGGGTGACAATACCAGAATGTTTGCCTCTCGGTGACAGGAAAGTCCTGGAGTGTTATGTCACCCTCTGCCTTCAGCATCGGGTGACATAACACTCCAGGACTTTCCTGTCACCTTGGGGCAGATATTCTGGTTTATTATACTTCTGTTAAAATGTTTCCTATAAAAGTTGAGAAGGTAAAATAACTATTTTTCTATAGTCTGAAAATTTCACGTCTAACAAAGCTATACCCCGGGGTATAGTTTGTGCTATCCACCCCTCGGAAAACTTTCATTCAATTTTTGCCGCCAGTTTTGATTTCCTGCGATAAATCTATAGACTGATGATTTCATTATGACTTCAATAGCATTGTGACGTCATCAGGATTTCAGCTTATTCTTGCAGTGTTATCTTACTCTAAATACTTCCTCAAAACTTTTATAATTATTCTTTTGAACTTTTCATGTTTTGCCTATGACACTGTAGTATCAGCCGTTATCCAACCCTCAGAAATTATAATTTACATCAGTATAATAAAACGCTTATCCACTGGCTTTGAGTGGGATAGCACTTTCATCAAACCCTTGACAGGAACTATTCCCCTCGGGCAAGCCCTCGGGGAATAGTCCTTGTCGCGGGTTTGATAAAAGAGCTATCCCACTCACAGCCAGTGGATAAGTGTGTAATGTCACCCTCGAAGCCATGTGATATATGTGTAATATAACATTTTTGAAGAAGTTTTCCTATTATATCACAAATGTAATAAGTTTCACTATAAACCCTGAAGAATGCTGAATAACACCGGAAACAGTTATATCACCCGACGGAAACAGTTATAACACCCTCCCGGTCACTTTCACGTGTCTTTATGTTATGCATTTGTTGCTCGGGTTTGAGATTTCATGACGTTGATTGCTAGGCAAACGTAAACAACGGAGCTCAATTCTTAACGTCATGAAAGCATTTTTGGATTATTTGCCTAAACTTAAACAATTCTAGACGATTTTTTAATCTAAAAATGTTATATAACATATACCACATGACTTCTCGTGTCCTGGAGTGCCTTCGGCATCGGGTGACATAACACTCCAGGACTTTCCTGTCACCGAGGGGCAAACATTCTGGTATGTCACCCTCGAAGCCATGTGATATATGTATAATATTTAACGTTGAGTCAAACAAATGTTTACTAAGTCTCGTCATGGCTTTTATTATTGTAAATATGAGTACAAGTAACAAAGCAAAATAATCAACTCAGCAATATTAAAGCACCAATAAGCACAAATATTGTTCAAATATTACAAATAAGCATTTTAAATTCAACTTTGATAATTAAAAGCTTTTTTTTTTTCAATAGACATGGCTGAAATTTAGTTGGGAAATATATAGATATTGTGAAATAGATAAACTTTAATAACTATATCCAAAGGAACGAGTTTGATTATATGGGTTTATTTAAGGATACACCAAAGGTTTCCAAATTCCAGAATTTAATTTGCATGTAATTCTTTCATTATCAAAGATAACATAATAAAAGTATATATCATTCGAAAGCTTGTTAAATTTACTATTTAATTATCCTACTTTAAACTTTAATTAATAACTTATTAAAAAATTATTCAAATATTAATGTAAATTTTAGTGCATGAATATGTTATAAATCAACTTTTTTGTATTTAACCCCGTAAAGTGGTAATTTTGCCTCAAGGTAGATTAAAGATTGAACTTAAAAACTGTATCTCAGATTTTTGATAAATCTTCTAATTCAAAAGTTACAACCATTTGCCTTCAATGTTACCAATTTATTAGCCTAATTTAACATTTTCCCCAATATTTCCAAAACTAAGGTAGATATCAAAAATCTGAGATACGTTTTTGTGAACACACATTTGAGAAGCAACCCATCCAATTTTCAGAGAAATTGGTCAATAAATAAAGGAGCTGAATCCTTTGAAATAATACCACAAACTGTCTGATCTTACTTTACAGTAGAGGGCAAAAACCCATTACACAACAAAATCTGCCAAAGCTAGAAATATATGACACCTTGGAGATTCAGCTTTGGATACCTGTCACTTAGTCATATTTCCCATGCATATTCACAAGAATGGAGGTTCTTTTCTTTAGATGCTTTTAATTGAGTAAAATAGGTTCAATTCTAAATCAGAAAGATTTCCCGGCAAAATGGCAAGAGCTAAGCTCCACCTCCTATTTTATGGTCATGAGTGATCTGTTAGATCTCCTTCTCTAAATCTAGAGTCCCTGTAGTTAAATTACTGATAACCTCTGTGTGGCTAGTGAAGAATTCCCCAAGTGGTCACAGTGATTTATTGCGTCTTTCATGAGCAGGCAGTCACAAATCAAATCAGAAGCTTCAATAACGGAACATTCACATGGTGGTAGTGTTTATGTTTCATTATTACTCTATAATTAGAAAACCATTTCATAATTATAAAATTTTTTACATGCATTATAAAGCAGTGATTAACTTCTTTTTCTTACCCAAAAATCTCAAAATTGTTGAAAATCTTGAAAAAAGCCTTTGGTGTATCCTTATGTTATCAGAAATTTGTTCAAAACATTGAAACCTTAAATGGCCTTATAAACTATTATGCAAAGAGAACTTTGTCTATTAATTTTGTAGATCACATTGATCGTTATTCCTCACTTGTAATAATGATATTTAAACAAAAAAAAAATAATGTACTGTACATGTATATTTCAGATTAAATGAACCATATTAATTCGTTAGCAAAATATATGAAAAAAAAACAAGCAATATGAAAAACCTCATAACAATGAGTAGTTTATGCAATATATATTTTTAAAAATCATAATAAACATATTTTATCCAAAAACAGTCAAATTCAAAGTGAAGATCAACATAAAAATATAAAAAATGAATAACAAAATATCAAAACTCAGTATTCATATTTTGTAATGTTAATGATCGATTTCAATTTTACTTTCGAATATTGCTAGCAGTATGATAACAAGAGCTCCAATGAGAATGCCAATGTTATGGTAAACAAAGGTTCTGACGTTTGTGGATCCATTCTTTATCAAAGAGGGAAGCTAAAAAGAAATAGAGAAACCAACGTTAGAATATAGAATATTTCCCCTTTATTGTATATTAATGTTAAGTAGTCAAATAAGACATACTTTACACGAAATCTCGAATGATTGTTTTGTTTGTTTGTTGTTTAACGTCCCTCTCGAGAATTTTCCCCTCATTTTGAGACGCCATCACATGCCGGTGGAGGGCTGCAAATTTTGACCTTTTCTCGGCACTCAGGGCCATTAAACAGTGAGGGATCTTTTTCGTGTCAGCACCTACTGCGACATGGGACCTCGGTTTATACAGTCTCATCCAAAGGACCGGTCTCCACGTCCCGCAGTGGGATTCGAACTCGAGACGTAAGGATCAACTCCTTACTTCGCGACTCTAAAGCAAACGCTCTATCCACTGCGCAAATCCCGAATGAAAAAAAAAAATCTCAGATAGGCGCACACAGTCCTATAGAACATTCCATGAATATAAACTGAACATGTATAATACAGAAAATCATATCAAAAGTATAAATGTTATAGGTGTTATTGACCAATTTGATGATGTAAGTAAACATCTGATCGAAGGAGACTCCATGCGTTGATTGAACTTGATAAAATAAAAAAAAAAATTTTTTCCACAGTTCAGGCAAAATATACAAAGTAGGTGTAAGTATTTAAAAGCTTCATATGTTAAAACATGTCATATTTAACTAAAATTCAAAATATCCCTAAAAAAATTGTGCTACATGATACTCATGAAATTACCATATCGACTAGTGAAATATACAGGAACATTCCCGCGGTAATGGAGAAGATCCAAGGCTTGGCCCCCATGTTGGAGGAGATTGGGACTCCAATATAAAACCCAATAAAGGCGGTAAGGGAGGAGAAAAGATTGGCAATCAAAGCTTTCTTAAAAGTCAATCCTTCGCTGATCAGTATTGCAAAATCTCCTTCAAATAAAAAGAAAAAATTAACCCCAAAACATAGATTTGATTAGAATAAGAGTTTTTACAATTTTTGAGAATATATGCGCACAAATTCATTCTTTTAGAATCTAAATTAACTAGAAATATGTCCATAGGACATGAATGCCCCGCCGAGGGTATATAAGTAATGCAACATAAAAATTTGTATTAGTGTATGAAAATTTGATAAGAATATCTTGAAAAATTTCTTTAAAATTGAAATTGAAATCTAAAAAGTTTGATATAGATGATAAATTCTCACCAAATTATGTATAAGTGCATAAGCTTACATAAATATATCTTAAATGGTTTCTTTAAAATTAAGCAATATGCAAATTTAAGAAAAGTGAGGTAAAGGTCTCAGAAAAGTTTAAGGTCAAACGTTTTTGATGCAGTTGAATAGTTCTCATAAATACGTATCAGCATATTAAGTTTGATATAAATATTATGAATGGATTATTTAAAACTGAGCTAAACACTAATTTAAAATAAATGAAGTTAAGGTCAAAGGAAAGGTCAAGGTCAAAAAATGTTGATGCAGTTAAAAAGGTTACATCAGTATGTATTAGCATACGAAGTTTGATAAAAATATTATGAATGGTTTCTTTAAAACCGAGTTAAACACAAAATGAGAAAGGTGAGGTCAAGGTCAAAGGAAAGGTAAAGGTGAAAAAATATTGATGCAGTTGAATAGCTTACATCAGTATGTATCAGCATATGAAGTTTGACACTAATTTAAGAAAAGTGAAGTCAAGGTCAAAAGAAAGGTCGAGGTCAAAAAATGTTGATGCAGTTGAATAGCTCTCATCAGTATGTATCAGCATATGAAGTTTGATAACACTAATTTAAGAAAAGTGAGGTCAAGCTCAAAGGAAAGGTCAAGGTCAAAAATTGTTGATGCAGTTGAAAAGGTTATATCAGTATGTATCAGCATACGAAGTTTGATAAAAATATTAAGAATGGTTTATTTAAAACTGAGCTAAAAACTAATTAAAGAAAAGTGAGGTCAAGGTCAAAGGAAAGGTCAAGGTGAAAAAATATTGATGTAGTTGAATAGCTCTCATCAGTATGTATCAGCATATGAAGTTTGACACTAATTTAAGAAAAGTGAGGTCAAGGTCAAAAGAAAGGTCAAGGTCAAAAAATGTTGATGCAGTTGAATAGCTCTCATCAGTATGTATCAGCATATGAAGTTTGATAACACTATCTTGAATGGTATTTTTAAATTTGAGCTATAAACTTCTTAAAGAAAAGTGAGGTCAAGGTCAAAGAGAGGTCAAGGTAAAAAAATATTGATGCAGTTGAATAGCTCTCATCAGTATGTATCAGCATATGAAGTCTGTTAAAAACATCTTGAATGGTTTCATTAAAACTGAGCTAAACACTAATTTAAGAAAAGTGAGGTCAAGGTCAAAGGAAAGGTCAAGGTCAAAAAATGTTGATGCAGTTGCATAGCTCTCACCAATATCTATCAGCATATGAAGTTTGTTAAAAACATCTTGGATAGTTTCTTTGAAAATGAGCTTTGAACAGAGCTAAACGCAAAGTGTGACGGAAGGACAGACGGAAGGACGGAAGACGGACATGACAAACACTATATGCCCCGGCCATATTCATGGCGGGGCATAAAAATTGTAACTAATTTTTGTTATGCTTGTACACTCAATAATATTTCTACTGAAACTTACTGGCAAATCTTTAAAGATTAGATGTTGGAAAATGCTTATCTACAGTCCATGAACAAAATATAACATAATATATATACAAAATATAAATCGTAAAAGAGAAAAGGTGAAAATTGTTCATTCTGTGAGAGAAAGAACTGATCAAGGGCCTCCCTCAAAGAATGGCCAGTTTGGTGCCTTTTTTCAACTTAAATTAATATTTTCTTTGTCCTGAGAATCAAAAAAAAAAAAAAAGAAAAAAAAGGAAACTGATATTATATTCAGAATAGATTATGCCAGGTAGCACACAGACAATGACAAGTTCATTGTTTACAGAGTGGACAAGCTAGGGGTGCACAGCATTTTGTTGTATAGCTATTGTGTTTCAAGTAGGTCTTTGGCTAAAGAATGGACAGTTACAATTGGGTTTGTGGGAATATTCATACAAGTATGTAGTGCTTCAAAATCAATTCACAGTTTGCGGTAAATATGTCATCATCTGATGGAGAGAGTATAAATTGAGAGTCAAAAAATAAGGGTGGAATTTTGGGTGACATTTGGATCTGGAAACAGAAAGAAGTAAAAAGAAAAACAAAACAACACACACAATATTAGCTGAACTCCGACCAGAAAATGGATTTGTTATTTCTTTTCCAACGAAATACTGGTAACTAATCTCATATCAGAACTGAAAAAAAAAACTTCATTTGAATTCAAGTTTTGAGGATATTTTGACTGCTACGGTGTGATGGTGAGGTGCAAAGTGTTATGAGTAAGTAGACATGTATTAGCGAGCTTCGACTTGAAAATGAATGTTTCAATTCAAATTATTTTTTGAGGAAATACTGACTGCAGCAATTGCAATCCGTGTCATATTTGTTGGATTAACGGTAACTATTAGCCAAACTTCGATCCGAATAATAAACTTCTTTTCCGTAGAAATGCTGTTTATGAATTTTAAATCAAATCTGAAAAATTTAACGTTTCACTTAAATTCAATTATTGAGAAATATATTAATGCAACAGTGTAATGCCGAGGATGAAACTGTGTTATAAGTATCGAAGTACTAGTAACGTATATCATTCATGGAGTATGGAGTATGCTGTGGATTGACTAAGATCTACATTTTCTTTCTATTATTTATATGCGATTAAATGTTATCTTTAAATTGTTTGTTTTTTCCTCATCGGTACATTCCAATATTCTTGTAACTCTGCATTCTGTTTGTTTTAATTGTCCATTCTTTTTGAAATACTATCCATTCTTTTAAAAATGTACAGTTTTTCAAAAAGTATAGACAGTAACAGATAACTTTATGGATTGTTTCAGTTGGCACAACAATTAGATATAGAATGGACAACTCAGACAAAAGGTTTACGTCACTGTCGTGTTTTTATAAGAATATTAAGACTACCCAATTCCTGAGGAAGTTCATGACAGAAGATTGCGATAGTGATCGCTATTCCTTCTAGTAAGCTGGTAGAGAATGACGCAGCAATGGCCAGTCCGTCAGTGAAGTTATGGAGGGCGTCACCAATAATGATCATTACCACCAGGGGTGTAATAGCTGACAAAGAAAGGCATGTATTAGTTATTAATTAGGTAAATTAAGTAAAGGAGAAAGGCCGAAAACTGTCCATTCTGTGAGAGGAAGAACTAATCGAGGGCCGTAGGCCCGAGATTAGTTCTTTTTCTCACAAAATGGACAGTTTTCGGCCTTTCTCCTACTTAAAACATGGATTTCCTTTGTTCTGAAAATTAAATAAAAAATGTACAAAATGACAGGTAGCACACATACAATGACAATTTCATTTTATTTGGAAACAGGTTGGGAACCTTTGGAATAATGAAGAAACAGAGCAAAATTAATAACAATGTATAAAATGCACAATAATTTAGCACCTAGTTATATACAAAATTTAGTACCTGACACAAGAGGCAATATTTCAGGATATACTACTAGGAATTTCTTAAACTATTCTTTGCCAAAATACAGATTAGAATTATTTAACAAATCATTTATTCCTGATACTGTCAGAAAGTGGAATTCCCTTAGTCTTAAAGCAAGGGAGGCAACTTCTATTAAAATTTTTAAGAACTGTCTGCAAAACAATATTGTAAAACCTCAGAAATATTTTTCATATGGAAAAAGGTTTTTGAATATAATTTATACAAGACTGAGACACCATTGTATTTTAAACTCTGACTTATATCGTTGTAACTAATAACTAGTCCAAATTGTTCATGTGGACTACTAGAAGATGCATACCATGTGTTTTTGCTTGTAAAAATTATGCAAATGCAAGGAATTCCTTAATGAATAAGCTATTGTCATTCAATAATTTATATGTTACAGATGTAAATTTAATGCTATTGGGTGATGATTCTCTTACTATTGAACAAAATGCTGAACTTTTTAAGATTATTCAAACGTTTCTAAATGAATGTGGTCGTTTTTCAAAAAAAGCTTAATTTTTTTACCATTGTAAATCTATATTTATACATTTAAAGATCTTCTTTCTATTACTACTCTGTATATGTAGTAGACCATATATATACATGTAATTTATTTTGGCAATTTTACAAAATGTTGTATTAGGAGAAGACTATCTAAGTTTTTGAACTTGTGTCTAATCTTTTTGACTCTTTGTCAATAAAATATGTTCAATTCAATTCAATTTCATTGTTTACGGAATGGACAGTCACAGGTAAGCTAGGGATACAGAGCAATTTGTTGAATAGCCATTGTGTTTCCAGATGCAAATAACAAAAGGTCTTTGTTTTAAGAATGGACAGTTACAGGTGGATTTTTTTGGATACTAGTATTTATACAAGTAGTATGCGATGCTTCAAAATCAGTTTACAGTTTGCGTTGTAAAGGCATACATGTTTCCCTGTGATGTAGAGAGTATATGACAGAATCAAAATCTTATAAACCAAAATATGTTCAAAATTAGTGATATATTTGGATTTGGAAACAGAAAAGTAAGAGTAAAAGAAATATTAGCCAAATTTTGACCCAAAAATGAACTTCAACAACAGATACAGATGATCAAATTCAAATCAAACCTGGAAATGTTTTATTTGAATTCTATTTTTGAGGATATATTATAACTGCAGAGTGTAATGGTGAGATGCAAATTGTGCTCTGAGTGTTGGGTTAGCCATGAGCCAATCTTCGACCTGAAATGTTTTTCAAATCAAATCTGGTAATGTTTCATTTTTATTTATTTTCTACCGAAATATCAACTGCAGCAGTGTAGTGTTCATGGTGCAAACTGTTCTCTGGGTGGAGGATTTAATATTAAACGTACTTCTATCTGAAAATGAATTCTCCTGGAGGGAATGATTTTTCCGAAATTTAAATCAAATGTGAAATTGTGTCATTTGAATTCAAGTTTTGTGAAAATTAAGTTTTGGGTATTGAAATAACGTGCATCATTCATGGATTTAAAAGAGTAAAATCGAGTGGATGCTGTGCAGACATATGATTATATTCTGGATTAACTTTGATCTCCGCGTTCTTTTTGTTATTTACACGTAAATTAGAAAGTATTTAATGTATTTGTTTTTTGTTTCCCTCTTGAACACATTCCAAAGTTTACCTGTAACTCTCCATTCTGTTTGTTTTAACTGTCCATTCTTTTTGAAAAAACTGTCCATTTTTAAAAGAATGGAGAGTTTTCCAAAAAGAATGGACATTTACAGGTAACTTAATGGATTGTTTGGGGAGTTAGCTCAACATTAAGCTATAGAATGGACAACACAACCAAAAGGTTTAAGTCACAATCATGTTTTAAGGAATGTTTTGGACATAGAGTCGAGCAGAAGGGCTTTAAATTAAGATATTGTAGACAGATTTGATTTCGCTCATTTGGTCAATATCATCGTTTCTAAAGAAATTATTTTGTTCTGTTTTGAATTTCCTATTTTCTCTCCATGTCTTTAAATACTTATTTCCAATATAACAATTGATAATAATGTAGATTTTTTAGTTTACGTCAAGATCGCGAAATGACTTGTAGATGTCCGAAACGCAGGACATTAATTGTGAATTTTCGAGTGGAAAGTTGATTATGTGCATTTCAACAATGTAAATGCAAACGCCAGTAATTCTATTTCACAAGTGATACTTCTCGCGAAATTACAAGATTACAAGATTAATAAATTTCTTGCTTATATTTAGGAATCTTCAAAATTCCCTACAGGGCCTATCTATAATTTTGTTTTACCACGAAAAAAACTAAAACCCAACTGCAGGGGAACAATAACACTAATGAAAAACTGTATATTAAAGAGTATATTAACGTGACGGTACGTCAAAAAAATTCTGGACTTTTTCCAAATTCTTTATCAAATAATTCCACATTTCTTCATTACCAATTGGTCTTCTAAACATACATGTATATCAAACTTAAATAATTGACATTCCAGGTTTTAATATGTATTTGATCAAAATATAAGCAAATTATCATGGAATCATATCAGGATTCACCTTTTCTGCCTCTTGAATTCCTTTGTTCCTCGCCCTGAAATTTTAAATGAAAACATAGAAGCTTTATAACTAAATTATTAGTACACGTTATTTTCTCCAAATACAAAAGGTCGAAGGATGAGAAATCCGATGGTTTTAATTGGTATATATATATATATATATAATATATATATATATATATATATATATATATATATATATGTGTATATATATAATTCAAAAGTAGTTAAAAGATGATGTCACACAGTAAAAATAATCATAAAAGAAAAAGAAAATGCACAGTTTCCAAATTTCATTTAACACAAGCGCTTTCTGGATTTAACAATCCTTCTTCAGGTGTACATACTTTGAACTGATCAGTTCAAAGTATGTACACCTGAAGAAGGATTGTTAAATCCAGAAAGCGCTTGTGTTAAATGAAATTTGGAAACTGTGCATTTTCTTTTTCTTTTATGAATATATATATATATATATATATATATATATATATATATATATATATATATATATATATATATATTATATATATATATATATATATATATATATAACGAGTTTTTACCTCTTTTTCCTTAATAATAGCGTCTACAGCCTGGTTGTTGAAGGCTGTAAGTGTAACAGGAGTTTGTTCTCCTTGTGTTTTCTAAAATACAATTATTGTTAATATCAGTTTAATTTGTCACAATTATATACAAAGAACATTGACGCAAGCGTCAAATTATACATGTATGCATTCAAAAGATGTAGAAATCTATGTTGATATCATTTCTGTTACACTTTAGACGAAAACTTTTTTCGAAAAATATATAACACAAAAAGTTATCATACTTACATGTTGTTTAGATATGGAAATCTATGTCGATATCATATTATAATTTGAACGAAAGCATGGGAAAATTTTAATTAAAAAAATATCATACTATACGTTTATAATATGCTTTCCCAAACTTACAATCGTATAAAAATCATGGTAAAATGTACATTGAAAAAATATTTTTTTATTTCCTCTGAAGCATTTAGTATGAAATTTTGCAACTGCAGTTCTGTGCAATTTGTCAAAAGATTAAAACTTTTACATCTAGTAAAGAGCGCCCCCTGGTGTCCAGTAAAAAAAGTCTTGATAGTGATACGGTTTCTGTCTAGAAAGGTTATTACAGCAAAGTGTATGGCAAAATAGTCTCTGTTAAAACATACGGTAAGCACTAAATTAATGTATCCCCTGGTATAGATATATTAACCTGTGCTATGATGTAGTTCAGAAAAAATAAAAATACGAGGGTTTATCCCAAAGTATAATGTCACAACTGCTATAAAACCTTTTATAATAAAAAAAAAAATATCAGCAAAATCTTAAATACTGATACCTCTATCTATTTTGATTTTCGCCCGAAAATTCAATTTCATTCAGATATATGCAATACTTTTTAAATATCACAATAAACACATCGTTTGATCTCGTCTATCGCCGCATCGTTATGACGTCGTTTCTCTTTGGCGCTCATTTTCAGTTCATCTATAAATCTATTAAATATCTTACGCTTTATTCATATACACCCCCAACTACTGCTGGAACATCTGGCTTTGAGCTTTTTCATTCAAAAAAAAACTTTCCATATTGCTTTTGCATATGATTCATTTCGCTGTGAGTACAGGTGGATCTAGGAAAGCATAAGAGGAAGTGACTGGAAGGCTCATCCTCCATATGAACATTCTACTTCCTTGCATATGTCCGTCTTTTAACTTTCATTTGCATTCATTTGGTGTTTATGCAACTTTTGTATCTTTATAATGTTATTTATTCCCCATATTAGAAGTAAATGTTTCCGGCGTCAAGTCTGGCGTTAAGTTAGATGATCAAACTTTTCAATATTTCAAATGAGGAAGAAGAAAGTGAGTGGACGATCAGTCAACCTTTATCGCCACTTACTCTTGAATCTGATGATACATAACGATCTACGCAAAAGGAATGAACTTAGAAATATCATCTAGACAAAGTCCAAGTACATGTAAATTTAATAGTACAACTCAGAACAAGACGCTTTATATAGCAAAATGACGGCAAATATTACATGTATTGAAAAGAAGCGAGAAGTTAAAAAAAAATGCGGATGAACTGAAAATAAGTACCGAAAAGTAACATCATACCGACTTCGGTTACATTCTTGCCGTATGGCGATATACAAAACCTAGCATTGTGTTTATCTTAATATTTTAAAAAACATTTTATATAAAAAGATGAAATTTTAAGGCAATAATTAAGATACATGGGGGGGGGGGCAGGTTTGTAAAATTTTGTTGATTACATTTGGCTATTATAAGGATTTTATAGCTGTTGTGATCAACTTTCGTATCTATAGCTTGTTTTTAAAAAAACCACACACAGTGATAAGTGATCCTAAAAGATCGCCATTTACCATCCATCAATCTTTTTTTTTATATCATGAAACGGAGAATTTTTTTTGCCCCCCGTTTTTGCCATTCTGGTGAAGTAATAATCATTCCATGTTCGAGTTCCATTATATGAATTAAGTCCACTGAACCATAGAATTTCCTATCGTTTAATATATTCGTATTCTTGATTTATTACAATTGCAAAAATGCAAAAGGCGCCTACATCCCTCAGCTAGAATCTCTTTAAGTTAGAATTATTTGTCTTCACACCTTGATGGATGTATTGGAGATGAAACAAAACAGTGAGTGATGAGATTCCTTCGATGAGGTTCAGAGTATACCTTTCTGCTATAGATTAAAAAAACGCCTGACTTCAGAAACACACCTGGTATATATATTTTTTAAATTTGCTTCCAGCTTATCGTTTAGTTTTAAACACCTTACCCTTTGTACATGCACCATTGCCATTTCAACCAGGTAAAATACGTATGCACCTGGAAGATAAGAAAACATAATCATCATTTACATATTATATCAAAACTCGCATGAAAATTACTCTGTTATATGATTACATATTCATATATTTACAAACATATTTATTTGGTACTAGAAATGTTAAATACGATTAAGAGCTGGTACAGGTATGTTGAAGCCATGAGCTAAATAAACACATCTTTATTTAACCAACATTATCACGAACCACCTTATATCGTTTAGTACGCTGACTTTTTTGTCAGTAATTAGACGGAAGCTATCAGCCTCCTCTATTACTATCGGTCAGCTTGCATATGACGTCGATAATGAACCGTTTTTTTTGTGTGGACAAAATACATTAAGAGAGCTAATTTGATAATCTACATACTGTAGTAGTATTTAGGGATAACCGAATTTACAAAATATTGATGACTGTTTTAAATTCACCATGAGGTTACAGATGGCGAACACAAAAAACTATACATGTATTCTGCCTGTTTTTTTCTCTTTTGCACACCAATTCCATTATATCGCGTTTAATGTCAGAAAACCCCAGGTGTTTAATTTTCACTTCATTATAATTGAAGTATATCTTTTTTCTACGAGATTATTTGTCTATCTTATAAATATTTTTGTCGGAGTTAGTTTTTTAGTTTTTCAGAAACTGACGAGAAAATCTACAGTGGATATGCACATTTTGAGAAGCAAAACGTATTAAAACGCAAGTGAATAACTATTTCTAATTTGAATTTTGTTAATAATTTCTAACACACCCAGGTTTTTGTCGAAAAGTTTGTTAATATTATCCGCCGCAGCAGGGGCCAATCTATTTGTGTTTCTGTTAGGAATTGCACATGGAGAATTTGGAAGTTAATTTTACTGTTTCTATAGAATAATGCCTAAAATACATAATAAAAGTTATGATTGAAACTGTGTAAAAATTGCTTTATACAAAATCTTAATTATTGATATCATGTTTTAATTTTAGTATCATACCTTACCAAATATTCATTTATTTACGGTTTTATAAAAAGGGTTTTCAACTGTCATTTTAAAACTCTACAAATACGTAAACCTGTATTTCGATTTATAGGATTGTTAAGAAATGGACTCAAACTGCTCAAAGAATTTACACTCATGGAATGTAGATTATTTAAACTGAACCTTATCTAATGTTTTTGTATATACTCATGAAACCTTTATCGATGTAATGTAAATTTGAGTCCCCTTTGCTCTTGTAGAAAATTGAAGGATACTCATCATAATTTCTTTTCATCCAAAAAATACAGCAGGCAGAAAAGACTTTTTCAATAAATTTCTCCGAATGGAGAAATGACATACTGTCGATAGTCACAAATTACTTTGGGGAGATGAATCTTTTTCTGCTGCTGAGAGAATGAGTATCTTTTTTTCAAATGTACATCTCCAATTTGTTAAAAAATAATTTTGATTGATGCACTATGTATTTTCAGTGATGCTTACTTAATTTGTATGTAATATTATTATGTGGCTCATAGAAATAATTCATCCACTGATTATTGTGATATTTTGTATTACTTTATTTAAAACTGTGACCTATATATGTAAAAAATTTTGTTTTAATTAATACGTAAGGAAAGGACATCTTCAGTTTTAAAAAATTTTCCCAGACCCATTAGTAAAAGTTTAAGACAATGAAATATACTCCAACCAGATTTCTATTTATGCAAAACCTCACCAAGAAGAAGGACCATACAGTACCAGATGTATGGTTCCACGTGATGCTCCCTCTTCATATGGACGGCATCATGATCGCCTTCAAAATGTGCTTCTTCCGGGTGATGATGATTATGGTTGCCATGGTGATGAGTGTCAGCAGTCTGGTGAGTGTCTCTCTTCCGGTGATGATGAAAGTCATGGGACGGAGAGTGACTTTCGTTGGATGAAGATTTAGGTTCAGGACCATGATGGTGGAGGCCAAGGGCCTTATGTAAAAAAAGGTGATTGATTGATGCTAATATATATATATATATATATATATATATATATATATATATATATATATATATATATATATATATATATATATATATATATATATCCAAAAAACGAAAGAAATATCACAATAATCAATATGAAAATAAAATAAAAGGCAACACTTCTTGTTAAAACGTAAGCGCTTTCATTTTTTCTTCAGACGTTTTAAACAATTTAAACTTATCTTTTTTAACATTCTTTGTTTCTTAACATAAGCTTAAATTGTTTATAATATATTTATATATATAAGTTTAAGTATTAGGCTCCAGTCCATAAACTGAGAACAGATTTTACTCAAAATTTGAATAACTTTTGAATAATCAATAAAATAAAACAAACTTTTCATTCTGTGATTGTGATTGAATATTTTATAAACATGCAATTTTCAAAGAAGTCTGTTTCACTTTTTTATGAAATGTCCAAAATATTGTGTACAAAGGCAAAACCTTATGCAAAACTTTCATACTTTGCAATTACCAATGCCTATATCCTTACAACTTATTTTGAATGGAGACAATAATCTTACTTACAACCAAAATATTGCCGTATTTTAAATTGTTCAAGAATTTATTTCATCTACAAAGAGATTTGCATGATATTGTTTCTTCTTTTTTTTAAATTTTGTCAAACCACAGAACCAACATCTATTTATGTGTTCTTATTAACTTTCACATTTATACTTATATTATTATAATTACCAGTCATATATGTTAAATGCAAACTTATCTAGTATCATCAGCTCATTTATATTTTTTTTCCCTACTTATTTTGTCTTCTTTTTTTTTTTTATATATAAATCTCTTTAGAATATACACATGTATATATTTTTTCAATGTTATGTAATTAATATTTACTTGTAACATGTGTGACTTGACCTGTATTGTGGAGAGGACTTATATAGGCAGTGCCTGCTGTCCAATCCAGTTAGGTTTTATCATAATAAAATATTGTTCAAATTAAAGAAGTCTGTTGGATTAAAGTGAAAATATTCAAAATCTACATGTAAATTTGGACTTAAATCTGTTCTCGGTTTATGGTTTTGGGGCCAGATCACTAAATTTTTCTAATATGGTTGTTAAAATGTTAACAACAGCGATATCGAAGCGCATGAAAAAAAAAATCCTAGTGATAATCGCTTTAATCAACTAATTTATCATTCTATGAGGGATATAAATCTAAATGTTAATCGCAATATCAATTAAACCTTATCGGATTCATAACCAAAATGAATTAAACATACTTAGATGAGAAACATGTTAACAGAGAATCATGGGATCTCGTCACGATTCAATTCTAAATGTACTCTAATGAAATATCTTCGTGTCAAGTAATACGTTTTCTAAACAAGTTGATCGATAGAAATCTGTCCATCAAATTGACATTATGTGAGTAAATAACAAAGTAAAAAATACTGATCAACGAATTTGATTTAATGTCTCCGTCAATTTGATTTATATGCAGTGTAAGGTAGCCTGATCTTAAAACAAAGAATAAATTTGAATTTTATTTTTTTAAAAAGTGCACGGTTATACTGGTTCCTTAGACAATAAAAGATATATGCAAACAATGAAAACTGAGAAGATATGTTGTTTTTTTCATTTGCATGGAATACATTTTAGTACGTTTATGGAATTAGATAAAAGTTATATTTTAAAAAGATGAAATGAAAAAAAAAATTAAATGGTATATTTTCTGTAAAGATTAAGGAAAAGTGACGTGTAATTACTCAGTAATGAATATATATGCACATGCGACTATAACACATAATCAAAGTTGGAATAAAATGCTTTTGAATACAATTAACCAAAAAGGAATTCATTTCTCGTATGTATCTGTGAAAAGAAATCAATCTCAAAAGTAAATCAAAATAGTACATATTTTATTAAATTCAAGAGAAGGAAAACATTCAACCAAATTTTTAACAATGCAAAATGTATTAATGTACACTCAAGCCTCAAATAAAATATTTATTTTAATGAGAAAGCCATGTTACAATAATTTTATAGGTTTTACAGAAAAATACTGCTATAAGCTGAGAAAAAAAACTTTCATTTTCGTAATTTCAAAATTAATATCAATGCTGTTTAGTTAAAATGTCAAGAAAATAGTATTATCGCTTCATCTCTTAGGCAACAGATGTATAATTTCATTAATTAGTAACAGAACACTAATTTTGATGTTTTCAGAAAATTGTTTGTGTGCTCCATGAATATGAATGTGCTAACATGTCCTTTCTGTGTCCTTGAATGACCTTATACACAACGTACTTTATTCCCATGAAGTTAAGATTGATCATTCTGACCCAAATTTAACAGATGTATAAAGTAACAACACACTACGTAAAGACTACGATATATGTTAAATTACACTATAAAACTCTGTAGCTTTCTCTGTTTCTCTGTAGCTTTATATAAAGAATAAAGTCTGAATCAACATTTTCAGAGATGTACTTTAAGAAACGCTCTTTGATTTTATTTCATTTTTTGTTGTGTTATTGCTTTCAGGAGGTCATAGCTTAGAACTGTACTGTGTCATTATATTGATATTTTTTATTAAAAAAATACTCCTTGCAGGTATACATTTGTTAAAATTTAGGACATCATAAAGGCACTACCACACAGAGAAAAAGAATCATACAGTATGGTTTACTGTAAAATGATTGAAGTTGAGTTTTGAAGATGGAAAAAGTCAAATCAGAAAACTTTCTCTTGATTTCAGTCTAAGGGGAGCTAAATTTTGTACAGCATCGACGTAATTCACACCTACCTCCGGAACTAAGTGAAGAATGGCGTCACTGGCCAGAGCACCAACAGCCAAACCCATAAAGACGGACAAAACAACATTGTACGCAGTTTTATATTTCTTGGCGAAAGGAATGGTAAAGGCACCGGCTAGAGAACACACACAGCAAATCAGATTGGCAATGGTGCCGTATCCATAGACTGAAGAACAACATTGAAAAAAAAATGGTCATTAAAATTTGAAACGATAAATATCAACCTTTTTCACAATCTCATATTGTTTTGTTCTCTTTAATATATAAACAGGAGATGAAAACTTCTTCCAATTCCTACCCTTGTGTGTTTTAGTAACCTTTTTTTTAAAACCTTGATTGTGTAAATTGTAAAGCAAAACTCTTGCCAAATAATAGAAACGAGAATGAGATTGATTGATTGAAAGATTAGGTGCTGTCACATTCGGGATTTTTTCTCACTCCAATAGGGGCTTCACAGCATGCCTTTGAAGGGCTTCAAAGTCCTATACTCGTCACTTAGGGCTATTGAGCAGTGAGGGTGCTTTGTCGTGCCAGAGGTTTTAAGGTCACATCCGAAAAAATTTCACTTCTAATGCAGTGCACTTGGCGAAGGAACAGTCAATACTTATGTTTACGTCTTGGGATTAACGCGGCACGGCGGACGAGAATCAAATCCGGGTCTCCCGATCACGAAGCGAACGCCCTACCACTAGGCTGCAGTGATCGGTGAAAAGAGAATGAGAAAGACTGCTAAAGAGCACATATCATGGCTTTTTCTCCTTTGAAAAACTGAATTTCTTCAAAGTATTCACTATACCTTCGCGGATCAGATTACAACCAACCAAAAGCTTGCTAGATTTTTTGTAATCTGTAATAGAAACTTTTAGTTAGAAATTGTAATAAATATAAGATGGTTTGGATGTTATTTTTATTCAATGAGTACTAGTTGTTTTATAATGTATTTTCTATTCTCAAACCTTAGCTAGAAAACAACACAAAATGGATTAAAATCATATCCAACCACAGACCATGGAGATTGTTTCTATCACATTTTAAACATAGCTACCCCATGTTTTACACAGTTTTATATGTAAATCCACATGTTATAATAATAATTTTTAAAAATTATAATAGTATAAAAATAGTAAATAGAGGATATTCAATGTTTTATAGTTGGATATGGATTTATTTCACGAGTGTGTGGCAGGATTTTTAATATTTTCACGAGTGCGAAGCACGAGTGAAAATATCAAAATATCCTTCTTACGAGTGAAATAAATTCCATATCCAACTACAAATCATTTAATTTTCTGTTTATTACATTTTCTTTGATTTTTCCCTTTGCATCTGTCTTTTCTTAACACAGTGTCATAGGCTGTGGTGTCATAGTTATAGCAGTTGAGAAGTCTTAGCTTGGCAGAGATTGAAAACATTGTAACATGGATTTTAGCAACATATTTGGGAAGAAATTGGCAGTTTTAATCTTTGTCTAGATGGTTTAGTTCCTATCTCAATTTTGTTACAGGCCAGAAATTATATTTTACTTACTTTGATATCCTTTCACACTATGACAGGGTATCACTTTGGTATCCTTTTACACTGTGAGAGAATATTACTTTTATTCAATGATTAAATCACAGTATTTTACTGTTGAAAATGTAATAAAATAAAATAATCACTGTGTAGGAGTGATTACAACTCTATGATAACAGCAATTGAAGAAATTTTGTTTCATAATCCCTACATAGCGTTTCTTTTTGTATCTTTCTAATTCAATTCCTCAAAAGTTTATCGAGTTTACACATGTAACTTTTGAATTCCAACAGAAAGGTTGACCATAGAGAATGAAAAAAAAAAAATGAATTGCTGTCTCTTATTATTTCTCCTTGCAATAAAACTGTCAAATTCGAAGGTCTTTCAATAAGTAATGCAACATACAGTTTATCAGATTAAATGTAGAAGCAGTAAATTTTATTTTTTTTCACAAAGAGTTATACTTAAGGAGGTTGGATCCTGCTATCAAAAGTAATGAACTTTTTTATCAAGTATATTTTTAGAATCTACACACATACATGTAGCTTAATTAAAAATAAAAAAATGGGGGTCAATGCGCTTCTTTTGGCGCTACGAAGCATTTAGTGTGATCTTTTTGCACTGTAATTGCGTCTAACACATGAATTAATTTTTAAAATTGTTTCCAGTATTTTTTTTATTCAAATAAATTATGGGAACAGTCTTATTTCATCTTGAATAGACACATTAAAATTTGTGACAACAAAAAAATTTCAAATTACTTTGCATGGTCAATTATTTGACCTTTCTGCACTCGAAAATTGTCATTTTCTGGCACTAAAAAATTTTAACAAGCAAGAAAAAAAAACCCAAGAATGGTTTAAAGTATCTTATATATTCAGAAAAGGAAATTAAAAGTGGGGGTCTGTGATGTTAATTTGTAGAAATTACTAAAATAGTGTTAATTTTTAGCGTAAATTGTGGCTATTTTTTCTGGATTTTCACAATATATTTGCTTTATTTGTCAAATATGATGATAGAATTCATGACAGTTTAATTAATATACAGTTTAAGACCAGCATAAAACAGTTCACGGCACAAAATAACGCGGTGTGCAGACTGTATGGAAAAATAGGAATCCAAACGTTACAAAACTTTAAATACTTCGAACGAGAAAAAAAATGATCACTTTCATCTAAAAATCCTTCTGCCATAAAATATATTTCCTCACTTTATGTTTTTGGAATGGAATTAAAACATGGGGTTTTAACTGAATATAGTTTAATTGGCATTGTAGAATCCAAGTTTATTGTAAGAACTAAGACATTATGCAGAATTTTTGAAATATAGGTCTGCTCAAAATCGCAGGAGCGAACCTCTTTTATTAAGAACTCTTTATCACTGAAAACTGATGGATTATCCTATTGTCTTTGCAAAGAAATTCCCTTTAAAAGTAAGCATGGTTTCTTTAAGATGAAAATGAGGGCTTACGTGAAAACTGAAGAACCTACATATAGATATGGTTTTGATATCTGGAAAGACTAATCTTTTACGCAGTACGGGGTTCAGATGGATTTAGAAATTTAAAAGTGGAAGATGAGAGTTAAAAGATCGTTATCAAACTTGTCGATCGGAATGTATCTGGGGGGCCAAAAAATATCGATGTAAGCAAAATCATATCGTAAAATGCCAGATTTTCTGTGAGAGACGTTGCTAAGACACTAAATATTTCATCACCACAGCAGTCCCGACAAAGAAAATTGAAACTAAAAAAAAAATCTGTCAGATGAGTACCTTATTTCCTTACAGATGCCTACAAGAAATCCGCGTGAAATGCGCATAGGGTCTATTAAAATTACAAGCATTTTTTTACAAAAGAAGGTCTGATAAACTTGGACTTTTTATAGCCCAAATAATAAAATGTGGAATCAGAGAGGAAGCTGTACATGTCGTCCTTTCATTGCAAAGAGAAGCCTGATCTCCAAACAGGTATTATACACGTTTGTGTTTTACTAGAGAGATCCAGTAATACATGAACCTTACAACCAAAGGAAGGACTATCAATGGTAGCTTTCATATCATAAAGATTTTATTAAGGAAAGCTAAGCAAGTTTTCTGTAAGGGCAGTCTAAATACCGGTCCCCATGCAGGTGATTTTCTTGTATATGACAACGTTGTTGCAAATGTAAAGAAAATTTGCATTTACAGAACTTAGCCACCCTCCGAAGTCGCTAGATCTCAATCATTGTGGAATATATCTTTATTCCAAAAACTCAAAGAAATCTATCAAAGAACGACATTAAAATTTAAGGTATGTCCAGGAAAATGCTATCCATCAGTGACTGTGTCTTTTGAGCTACATCAAAAAAGAGTATGCTGAAGTGTTCTGGTCATGAGTACAGAGAGTTAAAACTTGTGTAAAGGTTAACAGGAAATACTTTGAGGGATTAAAAATTTAAACATTTTGTGCTTTTTTTAATGACATTTTGCATTATTTATTCAACACCCCTCGCACATATATGTAGAAACAGCCTAACAAGATAGAAGAGACTTTCATAACATAAGATGTTATTAACTTTTTCCTACTTTTTTTAATTTGTCAAAAGACATTCCGCAAGTATAAAGAGGAAGAAATTCTACTTCACTTTCACAGGCTTTTGCTTCTAAAGTATTTTTTTTAATCATATGTCACATGCATGTGTTCTTGACTATCTGCACCTGCGTTTTGGTGGACCTCTCTTTAACATATTAAATAATGAATATTAATGCTATTACCTTCTGCTTCGGTTGGCATTTTTGTGACGTCACTGTAGATTATTTAAACAGTCGTGGGCTGACATTCATCTGTATAAAGAAAAATGAAAGTTGACTTACATTTAATAAATTGTAAACAAATTACACATGACAGTGAAGATTATTTATCTTTTAAAATTAAATAATATGAAACAGGTGCTTTCGTTATTTAAAATGGAAATAGAAACTAAGCATTTTTTTTTTTTAGAAATTATGCATTTTTTTTCCTCAGTAGTATGCTAACTGAGACACAGACTTACTGTACACTTAAAAAAAAATATTTTTCCTACTGTTTGTTGGTTCTTTAATCAATGCTTGTATTGTTCATTACTAAAAAAATGTTTGTCAGCTTAAAAATTAAGGAAAACGACAATAAAATGAATTACGCATGACGAATATCCTGTGCATATAAAATCTACATAAAAAGTGACTGATGTCTAAACAGGGTTAATTTCATTTAATCGGGTTTGTTAGGAAAAGTACGTCATAATGCATCGTTGTATACTTCGATAATATGATAATTCTCATTGCATTATATTTTTTTCTAATAAGAATAAATTCTATTATGTATATCTATAAATAATTATCATTTGAATTTCAAAAACAAATTAAAGTGTAAAGGGGAAAATTAGGAGCGGCAAACAAACAGACGATATGAATGTTCGTAGCGAAAATGGATGCTCAATCAAGTTATCGCAAAATTTCATTTTTTTTTTTTAAATCTTCTTTATGATAGAAGCGTCAGACATGTAAATTATAGATTTTTCGTCAAAATTCCATTTTTTGCAACTGGATGATACAAACGTATACGATTGTCATGTATTTCCCAATTACTAGTAGTTGTATACAACTAAATGATGCGTTTCAGCCAATGAGCACTTGTATCACTACCTTGAATGTCTCATATATTTTAAAATCTACGCACATCTTAAACAAAAACGTTTTTATACTGCATTTTATGACATAATTTCAAGACAAATAAAAGTCCCCAGTCCGTCCTTGATTCGTTGACAGATGAACATTATAAAGCAATCTTCAGGTCGCGATGTAGATTTATAGTCAGGCCCCTTGATCTTAGACCCACTGACAAGTGTGCTTTTATCTTCTTAGATTCTGAAGGGATTTTGTCAGTTTTAGAATATCAAAAGTACTCTAAATGGAGGCAGTCAAGGTTTTCTTCTTTTTATCAACAATTACTAGAATTATTATGATGTATTTCTTATGCATTATTATGATGTGTATCCTGTTGTTAAAGAAAAATATATAAATATATTTCAATAAAAATTCAAAATCAATGAAGAGGAAGAGAGAAAGTAAATGAAATGGAGAAAGGAAAATAGAGATAGAAGGATCTTCTTAATTTTATATATATATATATATATATATATATATATATATATATATATATATATATATATATATATATATATATATATATATATATATATATATATATATATATATATATAATTTGAAGGTAAAAATGCGTCTACATCCCTCTCTCCCCTTCTCTCTTTTTTCTCTCACTCAAAAAATAAATAAATAATTTAAAAACAAAACATAAAAATATTATTAGAAACCTGTAAAATATCTAAAATGGATAAAACAACCTAGATTTCTTTAAACAGAAATGTCAAGGTAGAAAAAAGATAAAATTAATTGGTAATAAAAGTTACTTGACATTGTCATTATTTACGAAATCTGTGTAATTGCAAATTAACAGATTACGGGATTAAAAATGTAAGTGCACTGTACATTGAGAGAGATACAGGTATAATTGTAGTAATACAAGTGCACTGTGCATTGATAGACATACATGTACAGGTACTGTAATAATACAAGTTCAGCGAATATACTGACAGAGAAAAAGGAGCTTATATTACTACAGGTCCTTTATCTCTGTCAGTTACGTGCACTGTAAATTGTACAATGACAGATACAGTTACCTTAGTACTATAAGTACACTGTACATTGACAGAGATACGGGTACCTTAGTACTATAAGTACACTGTACATTGATAGAAATACAGGTACTGTAGTAAGTAAATTAGTTGGGTTTTGCATAGAACATTACTTAACATTCACGAAGTTCTGTTGTTCTGTTTGAAACTAGGGATAAAATTATGAAAATAATTTTATTTTCACTATCACGTTCACGGAACTACGATAATAATATGTACATCATTAATCATTTCTGTGTGCATGCAAAATTGAAAATACATGTAATTATCCATAGAAAAGTATTTTTTGTGAAAATGTTGTACTATTTTGTCAGAAACTGACAGCAAAACTGCACACACACACACACACACACACACACACACACACACACAAAACAACAATGCAGTAACCAGTAATGACGTTAGCGGATGACTTTCAACCATTCAAGATACATGTACATGTGTTTTAATTAAGCACTATGTAAAATATAAACATGGCATTAATGGACGCAAATTAGACACCAATTCAACATGATATCATTAGCAGATTTTGTATCATTAATGGTATGCAAAATCTGTGTAATTTTGCACAGCTAAATGCATAAAAATAATACATGTAGTAATAATTGATTAAAAATTCATTCGTTTCGCTGGATTTATCTTATGTGAAATTCATAATATAAGTAACGGATATAACTTAAAATAATTCATGCTGAAAAAAAAAAACAAAAACAAAACAAAACAAAACAAAACTATCGGACTGCTGGGGTGCGTACAGGTCCCAACACTAACAGTTTTTAATGAAAATCCTCCTACATGTATATGAACTCTATTTGACTTGTCTGGCAATCCTCAACAAAGTCAAAAATATTATTTTAATTTCAGTTTAAAGAGAATACCTTTACGCAAAATCGTATAACTTTCCAATACTTTAGACAACCATTTTCCGTGATAAAGACAACTAACATAATAGACAAATTGTTTCTTTTGTTTCAATAAAAACAGAACTCGGAAATTTTCATATCTTGTTGTTGGTTATCTACAAACTAACTGTTAACCCCCCTCCCCCCCCCCCCCCCCGAATTTCTGAGTCTACACACAATTTAGGCTCTGATGCTGATATTCAAAAGACACGAGTTCCTTTAACAATATTTTGTAGACTTTGGAGACCAGACCCCGAGATCATGAAGTAGTCTAGACTTAAGTCAGAATTCCTGTATCGTCTTAAATTTTTATTATTGAAAACACATCAAATTTGAAATGTTGTTTGGAAAAAAATCTCTCCCTTTCATTTTGTTAATTGAATTTTCAAGATTCAGTTTTATAATAAATATTCGATCTAATAAATAACTTAATTTTTTACTTGATCTAAGTCTGCTTCATGATTCTGGTCTTCCAATAATCTGTTGGAATTCCCATGCATGGGTTCTAATTGTGCCCTTTATTAGCAGAGCTATTTTGTGATTTTATGAAGCAAAATTTATTCAAACACTTTTACATGAAAAGAAGAAGCCTTACTTAACTGTAGCCTTCAATTCGACATTTAGATAAATCAACGAGGTTGTACCAGTTTAACAATATTTTCATTTATACGTTTATTTGATATATCCCACTGAACTCAAAGTAAAAGATACCACAGAGTCTAACACAGCTATTTCATATTTGGATATTTTGCTAGAGAAAGACATTGATGGCAAACGAGCACCTTAACTTTATGATAAACATGATGACTTCACATTGTCTGTCGTCAACTTCCATTATTTATGTAGCACTATATCTTTATCGCTTGTTAATGTTTCCCAGTTGATTCGATATAAGCAATAGCATATTCTGCATACGAACAATTTTTAAACCGAGGCAGTCTACTGACAAACAAAATGACGATACTAGGGTATCAACAGTCTCCTTAAATTCAACATTTCGCAAATTTTATGGTCGATACAATGACCTTGTGTGCGATTACAATCCAGTCAATAGGTCGAATGCTGACTGATGTATGTAATACAAATTGTGGGGCCACTATTTCCATGCTGAATTGTCTATGCATTACTCCATTTACCCGAGCAAGATAAAGGGCTCACAGTGGGTGTCAACGGTTTTTAAGTTGAGGGACTTATTACTTGAAGGAATATTTATGAGATGAGAAGCTATTTACGACTTTATAATCATTTCGAGCTTTTCGTACTACTTCATTATATTATTTTCTAAATTCTAGCCAATAAGGAGGATTTATTGACAATGTGGAAGATAAAATCTCATTGGAAGATATATCCCTCAAAGATTTTCTTTTTACCTCCCATGGGATTTTGTTGGGATTTAAAATTCTGTCAATCTCCAACAGGAGTTTTTATTTTTGGGATAATTTGGGAGAATTTTATAAGAAAGCTACTTCATCGTGCATGTTTAAGTTAATATGTGGTCATAAAAAATGTCATAAAAATCAAGGGAAATATCATCTTCGCTAGCTAGAACCAATGGTTTCCGAGCGGATCGGAAACCCTTGGCTAGCAAAGATTGGGAAATATTTAAATTATTCTTTCAGAAATGGTATATAGTTATTAAATGTCACCGTGTTTTGTTTGTTTTGCTTTATGATATTCTCTACATCTTTCCTTGTCTTACTGCGGTTGTAATTAAAGGTTTGTCAGAGGGTCGAGTGGTTGTTATCTTTTTTGGAATATGTTAACTTACTAAAATCGTAAATTTTAAAGTAAATGTATTATTTACTTCATTCATATTCTCAAAATTGCACCCATTCTCGTCCCGTTTACTTTATCTGATTTGTTTTAAACCATATTCGACTTGGGGGTGTCTGGATGGGATTTTTAAATTATATACATTTTCAAACATTTCAGACATTTCAGAATTTGAAGGTGACAATTTCTATTTACTCTGGAGGAAAGCAGTGATGCTAAAGGTGACTCCAACTTCGGCCGATTTTGTAAAGTTCTTGCAGATTTCTTCAGAGAACTATGTCAAAGAGCACTGAGAGCAAACCGAGAAAATCATTATTTTATATCTTTTGTATATGTAGTTCATTTTCATTCCAGTTTGCTTTGTCTGTTGTTTTTCGTGAATTGGTTAAACTGTTCGAGTAAAAATAATGAACTT